AATATATGATAATATTTTATGCTTCAGCGTTTTAATAAATCTTCAGCTAGAAGGTTGATTTTGCATCTGGATATTAATAAAATTTTAACTATGTTTAAATACTTCCAATTTTTTCAAAAATTTGAATTTCAAATAGAATTTTTAAAAATCTTAATATTTATAAAATAAAAAATATAAATAATTATAAAAAATATAATAAATTTTTTTTATATTTTTATTATAAAATTATTTTTGTTAACTCTAACTGTTAACTTGTATGTTTTACTTTTTAGCGGATTAAACAAATATTATGAAAATATAGATTGAAGTATGATTATATTATATTGCTTAATAATTATGATGTAAATTATATATATGAGAGTTTTTTTATTTTATAGCATCACACTCATCCACTAGATCATAAATAAATTATGACATGAAAAAATGATAAATCCATACATGAAATTTGAAATTGCTTTGATTATTTTATCTAGAGACATTTATTTATTAATACAAGTCTCTCTTGCAAAAAATAAATTGCAAATCAATGATATATTTACAATATGAAATGCAAAAATATAATGTGAAAATAATACTAAAAATTATATATTTATCTAATTTTTCTAATTAATTTTTCATAACTATTTTCACATGCATTCATGTTATGCTTGATAAACTTTGTTTCGATTCTTTTATATGTAGAAAGAGTAATTTCAAGAATATGATTATTTTTAATAGAAATTTTGATAGATTTTTTTTGCAATAATTTTTTGGCTAATTAGTTTCTATATATACTGATATTTTATTTTTTATTTACTGAATACATGAACGATTTTATTTTTTACTATCATTATGATGAATCACATCTGACTTAAATACTCATGACATGTGTGTAAAATTTTGGTTTTTATCCTTCATCAGTGATTGAAATCAGTAACTAATGTCTATCTTTCTTACTAAAGATTTGAAAAATACTTGCAAGCTTTATCCAATATAGCATTTAGAAAATTAATCAACCGACATTGATTGATTGATTTAAATTTTTTTTCAATCTTTTCTATGGGTAGATTTGGTCATTCGTTTCATTACAAAAGACAAATTTTGTACTAACTTTTTGAAGACTAAAGTCACTGATAGAGTGTCGTTATATTTGCATCATCTTTTCTATATATGTTCATGTAGTTCCGCATTGTGCAAAAAATATGGATCAGGTTTACATATGACTTGTTGTTTACCTACGGCTCAAATGTTAAGCTATCTAAAACTTTTCTAGCAATGTGATGTTATATGACATGAAAGGATGCATATCTCACAAAATATAACATGAATCTGATTTTTTCTTTATAATAATATGTACAATACATTCTTCTTGTTATTTGGTACGGTGTTAATGTTATTAACATTACACTTATAGATTTTACATTTGACATAATTTGTGTTAGTTATCAAGATATCTCTGTATAGGAAATTTGTGCAAATTTATTTTTTACTAGTGATATAAAATTGAAGAGTTGTATTAAGCTATGATTACTTACTTCAATATTTTTCTCAAACAAAGAAACTTACCCTATCATATTATATTATTCTTTTATGAGTGTTTTACCATCTAGATCATATGATGTATTATATTGTATTGCTTAACAAGCTATCATATATACGAGTCACTAGATGATGCAATCATGAGCAGAGGAATCAAATTGGGTTATAACATCTTCAGTTTAGTTGTGGTTTGTAGACCATTTTGCTAAAATAAAAAAAAGTATATTTTTCAATGTGGTTAGACTGATAACTAGAGCACCTTAACTTTTTGGCTTATCTTATATTGTGATGGTGGTTTCCATACTCTTTGCTATTTTGGTTGGATACTTCTCATTCCCAATTCTAGTTCCAATCTTTGTAACTATCTTCTAGCAAAGATGAATTGAGACTTCCACAGCTCAATTATGGTAAAAGACATGCATTTGGATTGAAGCACAAGTAATGGTTGATGTGTTTTCGGGCTCAAGAACTATGTTAGTCAAGGACAAGATTCGAAATTCCTTCTCCTTCCCAATTCTAGTTCCAATCTATGTAACCATTTCCGAGCAATGATGAATTGAGACTTCCAAAGGTCAATTATGTTAAAATACATGCATTTGGATCGAAACATAAGCGCTGGTTGCTGGGTTTCCGGGCTCAAGAAGTATGTTCGTCAAGCATATGATTCGAAATTCCTTCTCTATACCAATTCTAATTCCAATCTATTCAACTATCTTCGAGCAAAGATGAATTGAGACTTCCAAAGGTCAATTATGTTAAAAAACATGCATTTGGATCGAAGCACAAGGGCTGGTTGCTAGGTTTTCGGGCTGAAGAACTATGTTTGTCAAGCACATGATTCCAAATTCCTTCTCCTTCCCAATCCTAGTTCCAAAATATTTAACTATCTTCTAGCAAAGATGATTTGAGACTTCCAAAGGTCAATTATGGTATAAGACATGCATTTGGATCGAAGCACAAGCGATGGTTGCTGGGTTTTCGGGCTCAAGAACTATGTTCGTCAAGCACATGATTCAAAGTTCCTTCTCCTTCCCAATTCTAATTCCAATCTATTGGAAAAGACTATCTATTGAAAAAGACTACAATCTATTGACTATCTTCGAGAAAAGATGAATAAAGACTTCCAAACCTAAATTAAGGTAGAAGACTTGCATTTGGATCGAAACATAAGCGCTGGTTGCTGGGTTTCCGGGCTCAAGAAGTATGTTCGTCAAGCACATGATTCAAAATTCCTTCTCCTTCCCAATTCTAATTCCAATCTATTGAAAAAGACTATCTATTGAAAAAGACTACAATCTATTGACTATCTTCGAGAAAAGATGAATAAAGACTTCCAAACCTAAATTAAGGTATAAGACTTGCATTTGGATCGAAACATAAGCGCTGGTTGCTGGGTTTCCGGGCCAAGAAGTATGTTCGTCAAGCACATGATTCGAAATTCCTCAGGTTATGGAGACTAAACTGAGTGGAGATAATTGGACGGCAATGGTCGTTTCATCTTAAGTGACAAAACACGCACTTGCTACTGGTCACTAACTCTGCTACAGGAGCCATCTGACAATGCATGCCCATAGTATTTTGAAAAAAAGGTCCGAATCTGATCGATTCTCATCGTCTCGTGCAGAAATTTGAACGTTCGTCAGTGACGCCGATATCTCGTGCAGATACTTGAACATTGGTCAATGATGCTAATATCTCGTGCAGAACCTTGTACGTTTGTCAATGATGCCGATATTGGGGAACCAACAGTGCATTGTCATGCGTGAAAGACAGCTTCGTCTGCACTCATGATACTTATACTCATACTTGTGACGCGATTAATTATTGAGCATTGTACATGCATGTTTGATTTGATGATATGTCCAAAACCCATTTGCGCCCACAACCGACTTCGGTAGTTGCTTTTGGAGTTTGTAACGTAGAAGATCGAACCTTAGATCTGGAATGTGACACTATCTATCCATGTGCGGCGCGGGCTCAAACCTTCCATTTCTTTCTGTAGGCTTCGGATGACGAGAGCTTGAACTTGTCATATATCGTCCTTAAGAGAGATCTGACATATCTGAAGGATAATTCCTTCACACTTTGATTCTTCAACACGCACTCATGAATATGTATATGAAAAGTTTATGTGTCGAGTCTGAACGAGGTGAGAAGAATAAATCATGAAACTTACCAATTCCAGTATCGAACAGAATTTTGGTGTCATATCAAATATCACAACATGAAACAATTTGAGGGTACCATGAAATGAAGAAGATATTAGAAGGGATAGTTCAACTCGGCAATAACAGTAAAAATACAGGATCTAGTTAGATATATATAGAATATTTTCCTACTCCTCATCAAAGAGAGTTGCTTGCACGTAGAGGTCACCGTGATCAGTATTATTCACAGCGATAGAAAATTAAATAATTAATTACAAATAATTCCCATAATCCATTTTCGTGACAGTTGTTTGCGATGTTTGTGAATCTGTTGAGCCAGAAATTTTTTGCCAAAGAATCTATGAGATATATGCATATGAATTATTTCTCTTTGAGAATGAAAAATGAACAGGGGGGAACACCACATCCGTTTTCAAAATCACCATATTTCCAAATATTTAAAGAAAGCTTCCTGGACTACTGACATACTCAACACCGTACTCTTTTGTCTGGGTCATGCTTTTACTCGGACATATCACATGCTTCCCAAATGGTTGTGGGGAGAGGAAAAACATGGGGATTACAGTGAAAACCTCTCATTTGAGCTAAATCTGTTTTATTATATTAACATTCGTTCTGTTGTGATGTGATACATGCACCGACATGTAACAGTCTCTGCTTGTTTTCAGATATGGGTAAGTATACGCGAACAGAAAAACAGCAAGGCGCAACTGAATTTTAACTTCTAATCCAATCTCCCAAAACTGTCATAACTTTCCAGTTTATATTTTATAAAGTATAAACACGTATGGATTTTTTTTATTAAATGGCCTGAAGAAAGGTACATTGCTTCTAGCTTCGCAACTGCTGTAGTAACTCGTTCGGTTGTCGAGACTGGTGCAGTTTATAGTAAGCTTGAAATGAGTATCGATGGTTTGTTTGTGTATTTCTTCAGTTCACGTCTGCTTCGCCTTCTGTCGACACGCATGGAGATGATATGGGAGAATAACCCCATGTCATTCTTAGTACAAGCCTGAGGTGTTCACGAGTGAATTTCACCAATCCTCATCCTTCTTTGCCGAAGAAAGGCGCTTGATTTGAGATCCAGTTGTAACATACAGCTGACATATTTCATCATTAAAGGGAGGAAGAGGGAGAGAGATGACTGCGAATACAATATACAATAATATAGCGGTGGCTCGCGTCTCGCAACAAAAATCATTCAATCAGTGGAGGAAACAGAGGAAAGGCCAGCGCAGTAAGTCGCGCAGATGAAGATAAAAAACATCGAAAAGCGATTTACAAAAGGGGAAAAGAAAATAGGCCTCCATCTTTTGCTTTGTCATAGTCTCATTCATTCATGAATGTTTCTCTGTCTGTCTGGGCTCGGCAAGTACAAGTGATTGAGTAGTGTAGAATTAAAGTAGGGACATCTCCAGAAATATCATTGCATTGCGAGGCCGTGTACTGTAGTTACCTCCGCGAGGTTACTGTAGTAGGTTCGAGGGTGTAACAGTAGGAGTGTCTTCTACCATGATCCCAACCAACGAGGTAGGTAGAATTGCCAGCCTGTACACACGGTACACCGGTGTATTGTACTATCCTATACTGTACCAACCTAGATTCGAAAGCAGATCTAGGGCATGCACTAACCCTGCGTCCGCCTTTTTCTTGGACCGAATAATCATGAACCAGTGGATTTACCGCGGTGCACGAATTTTAAAGCATTCCGGCAGGACGAGAGTTCGAGCTCTCCAGGGAACGAGAGCAGCCCGAGACCTTCCCGGAGGCGGTGGATTTCAAAAGCCCCGCTGACTTGTCAAGAAGCGAAGGCGAAGGCGAAGGCAGCGATGAATCGCGGTTCGGCTCGTGCAGTCTTCGTGGCTTTTCCTTTTCTGCGTGTACTGGTTCCGTAAGATGACGATCATCTGCTGCGTCTGCAGACAGCGCGAGGGCGAGTCGCAGACAAACGAGGCCCGAGTGGCCTGCTGTGCGCAGAATGTCTGATGCGAAAGGACGACCGAAGCCCGAGCAGGAGCAGGAGATCGATCGGATGCATCCCGAGTCCCGTGGCCGCTGGCCGCTCGCGTCCTAGAAGCGAAAAAGAAGAAAAATCCGCAGGTTAGGAAAATTCCTTGAGCCCCATGAATGAAGGCCGTTTTCTTGAGACCAACGCAGCGGCCGCGGCAGCAGCAAAAGCAGCAGAGAGGCCGAGCGAGCGAGCGAGGACATGGAGCAGAGCAGAAAGGGGACGGGACGAGACGAGACGAAACGAGAGAACAAATATACCTCGCGCATAGTGTCGGAGCGAGACGAGTCACGCCGCCTCTAGTCTAGTTCTCTCGCACGCTCGAGAGGGTGCCATCGCAGGGGCCCCTACGTCACACGAAAAACAGCCAACAATCCGCATGGTCCGAAACGAGTGGGCTGTGGAATCTTATCAAACCTTCCCGTTCCGCGTTCTTCAATCATGCGCCAGTGGCCCATGCTCTCGCCTCCTCCCTTATCCTCGCCACCCTCGGGCCACCCTCGGGCAGCCCCGGGCAGGGCAGCCTGCGCTCCTTGCGTAGGAACGGAGCGGAACGGGGCGGGGCGGGGAGGGACGCGGGTGTTCTTTCGCGGCACGCGCGGCGCGGCGCGGCTGGTGGGGGCAGCGGCGCAGGGGCTGCAAAGCGTCACGGCCGGGGAGGGAAGTGGGGAGGAGGGGGGTGGGGGGGCGACCCGGGCGAGTTGTCGGATCCGTAAGTCCACGTGACAGTTGGACGTCCTTTTGGCGCTTCCGTTATGGATCTCCGAAAGCTGCTTAATCCTCTGACTGTGTGTGTCCGGCTGGCAGGCACGAGAGGGAGAGGGGCAGGGTAACGACCATGGTCGGTGGAGGCGAGCCGAGCCGGGCCGAGCCTCATGTCGTCTGTCGTTTCAACTCGGAGATCAGCTCCCGCACTACCAGATCGCGCATCGCCTTCGTAGATGACACGTCTGTCGTTTGGACAGAAACGCCTTCCCCCCGTAGGCCAGGCCGCGCTAGGCCGTCATGCGTTGCAGTTACGCTGTGAACCCTCTCGGTTCAGCTGAACGCCCCTCAACGCGCTGCCCGCTCGGCCGGTTTCCGCCCCCCTCGCGCGCCGAACCGGCCTGGTTTCCCGCCCCGGTCTCGGGCTCATCCAGTTTCCGCTGCCGGATTCGCCCCCCTCATCATATGCTCCGCAGGATCTCATCATGGACCGTGGCGCTCGCGCGCGGAGGTTGGACAACCTGACAAGTACCGGTGTCCGGTTGCCGGGCGTAGAAAACGAGTCTGTCGGCCTCGAGCTTCGCGTTAGCCCTCTCTCGCTCTTTCCCCACGGGGACAGGATCTGGCCGCGCTTCCAGATCGACGCCCCGGCCAGGGCTCTTCCCGCGCCCTCGAGATCCCCAAAGAGTTCCTGGCCGTGGATGCCGAACCTTGAGTGGCATATTCGATCTTGCGGGTGCTCTGACGATCCACCGTACTGTGGAGCCAACGCGAAGTCTCGTGGGCATGCATGGAATCCATGGATCGAGCACAGGCCAATGATTAAGCCGGAGCTCTCAGCGAGGATCTGCTTATTATAGCTAAGCAGCAATTTACGAAATATCATCATCGGCCATTCTCGTTAATCGTCACTCGAAGGTCAAATGCGATCCGACATCGCCGAGGAGGTGGGAGTGGCAGATTTCCTCAAATTCTTTCTCGTTTTATTCCAGAAAGCAGGGAAAGCAACAGAGAGCGTGACATGTAGCCCTGGCGCAGGAAAAGAGGAGACGCGAAGTCCTCAAAAGCAATCTAATCTTGAGTCAACCGGCCTACTAATCGGGACAGTGCGGTCTTTCCGGCCTCTAAATATCGATCAGAAGTAGTGGTGAGGAAGACGACAAGTGGAGGTTGTGCAGGAGATACTGGCAGCCTCCTCTTCATGGATACTGAACTTATTTCTCCAATAAAAAATACTGCACAGCGTATTTTCTGCACAATACCGGTGAGTTTTATAAAGGTATTATTTATTTTAACTTTTCCCATCACATGTCTTTTCTCTATCTGCTCTCCACTCTGTTGCCTGATGAGATGTCCACTTTAATTCCTCTTTTCTGTATGGCTATCATCACAAATCTCTCTGCATGGATAGATGTCCTGTCACAAAGATCATCTTCCACTACTGCGAAATTCCCATAAAGCATTTGTCGATCTTCAGAATGATCTACATGCCTTACTTTCCCTGCAAAGCATGTTTGTCAAATTCACACCGGTTTGTTATTTTCCCTCTTTCCCACACAAAATTCCCTTCGTGAGCATTTGGCAGCAATTTTTACTCGGTCGTTGAAATTTTTCCTAAAAAAAGTGCAGCCGTAACGAGATGACATGCATTCGAATCTCTGCATGACATAAATAGCATGTAAGAGTCATTTGTGCTTGACGTGGGACGACCACCTACTGCATCACGAGAGCGAATGATAGAAATGGTAAGATGTGAGTTGCAGGTGAATTACTTTCTTTCTTTTACACAGAGTGGATGATGGAAGGGGGAATTCCCGATAACGAAAAGAAGCGGCAGAATAGAACAAAAGGCATTGTTGCAGGAAGGTGCTCGTCAAGGGGTACACAAAGTAACAAAGCTGAAGACAGCTAAGGGTTCGTCCTTCCATCAATATGCTGAATGGAATCCTGGGGTATGTTTTGTTCGCAGGTGGCGCCCGAATCGTCGAATTAATTCCATTGCCGCCCTACAACAACAAAACTAAATTGGAGTCAAGCAGTTATGGGAAAGACATTTTCTGTGTCCTCTGTTGTCGCCCAGAAACCAGGGAGGTTACATCACAAAACCTGGAGCCAAGGCTGGGCACATGTAAAACCATGTAGAATGTCCTCTATTGTCGCCTTGCAAACCATATCTTACGCCACTGACTTGCACAGCATCAATCATTCCACTACAGTTGTTGTCACAAGTTTCAGCTCCTCATGCTGAATATACTACAGTGTCTAACGGCCTGTGTCCTGAAATTTGGGTTCTACTGTGTCTTTCCTTCGCTTTATAAGCTAGTCAATGACTTTCATGTTAACCCAATATCAAAAATTTAAATATTTCCATGCAAAGTACCATCGGCAATTGAATGATCTAGATTAAAAACTTCCTTAATCAAGAAAACCAACTGCATCAGTATGTACATAGATAATTACAAAAGTTCGATAAGAATCTAATTAGTGAAAACTCAGAAAACATATTTGATTTACATACTATTTACTCTGAAAAAAATAAATAGATTTTTATGTTGAGAATAAGTACAATTGAGAACATGTGAATATTGGAAAAATAATTACAATAATTATTGTGACTTTCACATGTTAAATTTTTAAACTACACACGATATATACATATCACAATTGTAGTTTAAAAATCACTTATCTCCTGGATAAGAATTAAAACCCTCTTACAAGTGTCAGTATTACCTACATCTGTTATCATGCTCTTTAATATGGAAAGATACAAGTTTTCAATCTAGAATTTTGAAAAGTATAATTTAATTTTACAGTATAGCCGTGAATATCTCACAATCTGAACTATTATTATCATATTTCTCTCATGAAAATTCACAAACTAATACAGAGTTTATGACCCATTTTCAAAATGAAAAGCTGTTATTATATCTATATGGAAGTGATCATTTCATGTCATATGAAAAAATGATGTTAAAAATAAACAAAGATCAAAGAAAAAAACCTAAAAATCTTTGACATATAACTTTATCTTATACAAAATATTGTTTTGAAGGTTTCTGATGTGGAAAATGATGCGTAAATGAAGTTCAATTTAATTTTTAATCAACATATCATTTATTTTTTATAGAATTGGATATTTTGAACTCACTTGTGATAAGTTGATTGTAATTTCAATTAAAAGAGAGGGATTTGATGATAGAAAAAATAAAATATAGAATGATAGTTTAAGTTAAATATAGTAAATTAAAGATGTTTAACATGCTAGATACATAACACAACAAAAACGCTCATGGCCAGAGGGGGGCATTCCGAGAATTGAACTCGGGACCTCTTGCACCCTAAGCAAGAATCATACCACTAGACCAAATGCCCTGATTGGTTTGGAAATATAATCAATCTATTATGAATGGTATTAAATACTAAAAATTGATTAAATAAATAAATATAAATTTTAGCTTAAATTTTTTTAAGTATAATTAATTAATAATCGGATAAAATCATTCAAATTCTATATTTTTCAAATTTTTTTATGAAATCAATGTAAGACTTAAAATTTAATCTAGAATAAGTGTGATATCATGATTGATACTAAAATGTTAGAATATTTAGAAGGATAAGGATTAGCAAGAAATTCAAAAAACAAGATGTGTTATTCATAAAACTTACACTTAACCCATCATGGAATTAATTTTCATACAAAATCTTTCATTCATGTCATAAATATTTGCATTCATTTTTTTAAAAATTATTGCAATATTTTTACATCAATAATTCTTCATTGGAATATTATTTAGATTCCAATTATTATTACTTAATTTATGTGATATCTATATGTGATAATTTTTTGAAAATTTATAAGATAAATCTTACACAGAATTATATTAAAACTAAAAGTATCTAGATCAAATCGTATCTAACACATGCACTTGTAAGTTTGTTGCATACATTTTAAGAATAAAAATATTTAGGTAATTAATGATTTGATATTTTTTAATCTGGCAACAAACACAAAAAAACCAAATGTTTATGTCAAACATTCAAAATTCACTTCTTAAATTTTAAGATTCATATTTTTTAGATTAAGCATATGTATCTTACTTTTATTCATAATAAAATTTTTCAAATCTATTACACATCAACAAAATAATGATATTTTGATGATGTGTAAATAGATTTTGACATTTGCTATTTAAAATTTAATCCTTTTTTAATAAGATCTGGAAAATATAAAATATTTTTTATATCATTTATATATCAAAAAGATAAATGATCAAATATTGAAGTAAAAAGCTAAAAGAACACATATTACCTTGCATTTTTCATGTTGAAATTTGCGAATAATTCCTGTTGTATTTGCAATTTTTAATCATAGCTTTCAAAAATTCAAGTTTTCATTGTGTTTTCATTCTCATTTTCTTCACACTCAATGCTATAAACTGTATAGTAAAGGGGACGACTAGGGCCACACCCGCCCGTTCAAAAGCGGGCCTCGCCGTAGCAAAAACGGGTGTGGCCCTAGTCGTCACCGGAACCGGATGGGTGGACGATGACGTCACCCCTTGTAGCAGGAGGGGGACTTGAATACGGGTCGCCGAGCTCTCATCTGAGGAAAGATTTCTGGGCCAATTTCGCATTCCCATGACCCTCTCGGTGTTCCATCTTCGTTTCCTAACACTAATGGCCACTGACAAGCATGGGCATGGTAATGAGCGGGCAGTTGTGGCCGTAGCAAAAACGGGTGTGGCCCTAGTCGTCGCCTATAGTCAATAGTCAAAAAAAATTTATAATCTTTGGCTAAATACATTTGATACTAAAGCACTCATTATGTAAAATACATGATGAATGCTCAATAAAATAACTTTTTTCATACCAATAAAATAATACTAACAATATATATTAAAAAAATACAATATTTTTTGTAAATGATTTTTAATTTTTAATTATTTTAATTTTTATTTAATTTAAATATTATCCTGTATTAAAAACATGTATAGATGATTATCAAATTATTTTTTCTCATTTCATGATAATTTTATTCATTTATTTGAAATAGTAACAAAAATCCATGTATTCATTTAATATCTTGAGGTTGTAGATACAACACAATTGTGTTAACAACTATTTTGCATGTAATCTAATTGTTGTTTTATAACAAATCAACCATATGGAACAAAACTTATATAAATATTAATAGCTTTCATTATACAACTTGTTGAGGTTAACTCATGTTACGGATTAACTTTGGTTTCTAGCTAATGATGGATGGGTGGCATGGACGAGAGATTAAATATCCCACCGACTTCTAATGTACATATGTTTTTCACTATTGACAATATACTCATTCTCGCGTGTTTCAACCATGGACGTAGTCATACCACTAGATGAACTAAGTTACATCTTTGTGTGGACTCGTTGATGTTCATTAGTTTACTGCCTTATTGTTTACTGATTATCATTTTTTCCTTAAAAAATGAATATCAAGGTTAGTGTGCTTTCAGATATCAGGTGCTAATCGATGTTTTAAATTTCATCTCATTAGCATGTGGAAATATGGGAAATTAGGTTTGTTTTGCTGGTTGTTGTTATGAAACCATTGGTGGAAAAAAAGTTTACTGTGGTTCATGGAGCGGAGATAATCAGTGTTGATTGGGAAGAGCGTATATATGTCAACGAAGCTCTACCTATCGAGTATGATCAAATAGTGACAATCTAGCATAGTAGTTTCGTGCTCTCATACTACTCCACTCGTGACAACAAAATTATAGATTTTGAAGTTTCTTAGATTTTAGTAAAGCTCATCAACACATATGTTTAGATCTCACAACAACTCGGTCAAGGAATTGTTGATGACGTCGACCTCCTCACATGACTACATTATTGGATGTATTCTTATGAGTCGTTTATGAATGTTCAAATCTACCAATAAAATTTTTTACAGAATGACATCTGAGCAAGTACAAGTATGTCTTCAACCGTAGAAGTTTAGCATCGATTATTTCAATCATCTATAATGTAAATCTCTTGAACATTTAATAGCAATTGAGAAACCAGGAGATGTTTACAGAAGAGGAGAGTTGTTTTGAAAAATCTAGTGCCAATTCAAATATTCAAGAGGAATTGTCGGCAAAATCATAGCTTTGGCTTGAGTGTGAAAAGTTCAATCGTAGAAGTTGAAGAATTGACGCATGGTTAATCATGGTTTGTTGTACACGAGGTTTTTAATCTAGATAAAAAATTTGTAAGCAGCTCATAGCTTCATCGCAATCTCAATGAAAATTTGCTCATGCATGAATTTTTTTTTTGTCACTCAATTTTGGTTGAAAATCGCCACATACCATCAAATTTTGTATTGACGAGCATAAACCAGACACTCTTTTGAAACTTGGAGGATTCAACTATGGATTTGAATCTTTGCCGATGATTCTTGATAACGTCAATTTTCATTTCATCGTTACAATCTTTTGATCCACGTATCAATCATCCATAGTCATTTTTTTAGAGATTTTGGATTGCATTAGCACTGATTTGTGAACTTTGCTCATAGAGCTCAAATTCATTTTGGAAAAACTACAAAACCTAAAGTGTGTAAAGCATATGAAAGGATAGCTAAAGACCATGAATCACGCAATGTTGTTCAAGGAGAGACATGTTCACATCAGCGACATTGAATGGAGAAATTTGCAATAGCAAGTCGTGTACATGATGATGGGACATCTAGACCTGTTAGTTATGAAGTAGGTTGAGCAGTATGCTGAAATCACATAGCTATTTGATGCTTTTCAGCTACAGTTACATAAAAAAAAATTGTCCAACGTGTTGTACATGTACATAAAGATGAAATCCGCATCTAGATGTAATCATCTTTAGTTAATTGGAACTAAAGTAGAGTTTACTCAAGATGAAGTTATAGTTACTTTAGCGTGCACTAGTCATACTTTTCATGTCAACAATCCGCGTGCTTGGTAAATAAAGAATAAATGCGTTGGTTGATAGCGCCACGTCAGCAATCCGATGCTTGCGAAGTAAAGATTCAGTGTGTTAGATTGAGAGCGCTATTTCAACGATCAGTGTGCTTGTTAGGGTTATCCATCAAATCATTCATCCACTAGGACTAGAATGGATGGTGGGAATGAGATATTATTTTCTTGTACTAAGAACTATATAACGGAGAGTATAACCATTGTTGATATCTTTCATATTTAGAGTTTATGTTTTCATCTTTGAGTAAATTTCTCTTTAAATAATAGTGTTACAATGGTATCAGAGCGATATTGCTCTTTCTTTGAGTGTGGATTACTC